GACTCTTCTACTATTATTTGTGGTGATTTTCTTGATGATTTAATATATAAACCATTGTTACTTCATTCTAATTCTCTTCATACTGAAGTAGACTTAATTCAATGTAAAGATGAAGAGCTGGAGCAGGAAATAAGTAAGATTGGTGATAATAATGACATTAGACTGCTTGTATCATTATCTAAGATCAAATCAAGAGTGGGTAGTCTTGCTCGTAGTGAGTTAGTTGCTTTAGCATTATCAAAAGAGTTATTAGAGTCAGTCAATCATTGTTCACAAAATAAACTCTATAAAATGTACTTGTCTCAATGGTTTTCTTTAATGACATTGTTATCTTCAATTGCTAATGCTTCTAAGTCAAGTGTTGGGGTCTTGAATTTTATTAAACGATATACTGATGCCATCAAGAAAATAACTCCAGAGAAAATTAAAGGAGGTCTTGTTTTCTTTCATTTATTTCGTTCATTCATGAAACATACAAGACTAACACTACAACCTTCAACTCAAATTAAAATCATTCAAGGTACACTTAATCATCAATTAAACACAAACGATATTGATTGGATTAACTCTCCTTTTCCTTCATTATTTTCATTTGAAATTAATGATTTTATTTCACCATCTTTTGGCATTTTAATGAATTATTTTAATGCTCTTTCTCCTGAAATTCAATTCAAAGTTGGTTTACATTCAACTCACTTACATGTGTTTTACACTAACTATTTAAATGAGCAAAGTAACATATCATCAAGTGAAATTAAATGCATTAATATTTCTCATCTTAACAATGTATTAGAACTAAGGTTCATTTTATTTAAACATTAATACTATTATTTTGTTATTATTATCAATTTTAGTTAATTTTATTATTCTTTTATTATATTCGTTTTCATTAAATTATGAACTTAATCTTTCTATTCTTTCTGATGTTTTCACAGTACCTCAGTTATGTCGGTGGTACTTTAACCCAATTCATAATCGAAAAGCCAATTACAACTCCGTTTCAAGCTGCTTTGACATGTTCACAAATGAATGGATTATCAACTTGGAGTAATATGTCTTTCCTTGCAAGAAAGAATTCACTGTTTAAGTCTCTTCCATATTCTATTCTAAACGCAATTCCATTAACTGTAAGTGAACAACTAGCAATTAGACTCTTATTAACTCAAAAAGAAAGAAAAACTCACAAAATTTCTCTTTGTAAACAACTTGCAATTACTTCACTATCAACTATAACGTCATTTCCTTTCACTTATCTTGAAATAGTGAATCGAACTCATTGCTGTTCTGATATTAACCTAAAAGATATTAAATACGCTATTCCTCGACCACTTAATATTCCTATAATTCCATTATACTGGAATATATTAAGAAATATTACATACTCTACATCACATTCGTTTACTTCTCTTAAATTACAAAACATTAAATGTTTTTCTTCAAATAGTTTGATAAAAATTAATGCTATTTCATCAATGGTTGGAACACTTCTTTCATATCCATTTGATGTTCTTCTCTCTCGTTCCATTCACAATTATTCCACTGGCTTTTCTCCATCAATTCTTACTCATGGAATATGTACTCAACTTCTAATAAATGTCTCTTTGTCATCAGCCTATGGCTATTTGGCTGAAAAGTATTATGAAAAACACTCTCTAAAAAGGTCAGTGTTTAGGTCGATTAAGTCTATATTTTTTGCTTCTCAGTAATGGAATTGCTGTTATAAATGAATAAGATATTTTCACTTTTTAAATTGTTTTTATTTGTTATTTGCAAATAACAATTTAAATGTTTTTTATTTTAATTATTTCATAATAATAAGAAAAAAGAATTTAATTATTGAGATAATCTATTTAATTGTTAATGTCTTATTAATACTAGTTTAAATGAATATGTTTGATTTTAGTAGAAGTATTGTTCAATTATATTCGTATTTTTAGTCACAATGTTTTTAGCTTCTTTAATACTGTTATTTCAATTTTTATTTCTTTGTTTAATTCAATGCTTAGACTTGTTTCTTTTCTTTTCCAGTAGTAATTAATGTTAGTACATTTTTCTACTTTCATTTCTTTTATTTTATTGATGAGAGTGTTAAGGTATTCTTCATCAATTTCTGTAGAGTTATTCTTTAATATTATGTTTTTTATTATTGAATTACACTCTACTCTTCTATTATATCATTTACTTTCACTCTAATGTACCGTTTAGTATTTTCTTTTATTTTATGTGATATTTTAATATATTTAATATATTCTTTTTCATTATTGACATTGATGTTTATTGCTTTTATTATATTTTCTATTTGTTCATTTCTTAATTTCTTATATAATTTCTTATTTAACCAATTAATTCAAAACAATACTACACTTCAATTAATATTCTATTTCTTTGGTTTGTTGTATTTCTTATATTTTTCTTATACTTTATTTGTTATTTATTATTCTTGCAATTTTACATATTTCATTCATTTCTTTAATTTGGTTTTTGTTTTTAATTTCTTCAATTGTTTTAATGTCTTTTCTTCAATGTCTTTTGTTTTTTTCTTTAATTTCTTCTATATTTTTTTCATTTATCTTCTTCTTTTTAATTGAATATACTTCTTGCAGAATATCATACCATCTTTTTCTTTTATCTTCTTACTTCTTGAGTATTTCTTCATATCCTCCTTTATTCCATTCAAATGTTATTCTTTTTATTCTTTCTTGTATCTCATTTATTGTTAATCATTTATATTTGTTATGGGTGTAATCTTTATTATTATTGTATTTACCCTGTTTCTTATTTGTTTTTCTTTGCGTCTTTCTTCTTCTAAACCATTTCCATTAGTATATCGTTTACCATTATTATTGTTATTCCATTTATTGATATTGACATTTGTTTTTTTATTGTATGACATTGAATTTCTATTTCTTGTTTGCATTTCTTTACAATACACATTGTTATTACACAATAACCATGACATAAAAATTTGTTATATTTCCTGCATTGGAAAAGTATGTTATCTATAATTATAATTAATAATAAAATAATTAATAAAAAGCTAAAATAACTAAAAAAATTAAATAATAAACTTTAAAAGGAAATGAGTCTTAATAAACCTTTTTCACTTCAACACAAAGAAAGACAGAAAAAGGAAAAAGAGACTCATGACAAAAATAGAACTCCCAAAGAAAGTGTAGGTCAAAGATTCAAAAAAAGTCAAAACGAAAGAAAAGAATTGATACAAATTATCAAATACTCTTTATCAATGATAGAACAATTTCAAAAAAATCCTGAAGAAGCAGAAAAGATAAACATCTCATTAGAAATGATGATTTTGTGTGCGTCCAAATTAAAACTTGGAGTTGAACGGTACTTAAAAGATTATGAAACTTTACGTGGCAGTGATGGTTTTATGAATACATTTGATTCTGAAGAACGATCAATAGTTAGAACATTAGAAATGTGGACATGCACAGAAGGCTTTCATTTAAAGAAAGAGTTTGATAGTCTAAAAACTGTGTTTAATGAGAATAGTTTTTTTAATGCAGTCAAAGATAAAGTTAATATTAATGTCGTCATCAAAGATGGTCCTGGAAATATATTTGGATTTCATGTGTCAGTTGCTCCTTCCCAAAAAAACTTGGCTGTGGTTGACAAAACTCATTTTATCTTTTCTATTAAAAATGTTGCTCACCCTGACCAAACGAATCGTCAATTTGTGCCTAGTAGATTGATCGAATCTTTTGTCATTTTTCATAAATCAAATTATGTCTTTTGTGTTCCTTATGCTTTTGCAATTGTTGGAAGTGGTAAATCTGCAATCTCTCCTAAAATATCCTCACTTTATTTTACTAAAGAACAGAAAAAATTTTGTACTCCTGATGATATTAATGGTACTGTCCTACCAAATACCTTTCCTGTGGAGTGGGTTAAAGTTTTTGTTCAGTAATTTCATACACTTTCTTGTGTTATTGTTTGTTTCTTTTTTTACAATAAAATTATTTTTTGATTTACGCCCATAGAAAAATATAAAAAAACCAACAGCAAAAGAAAGAGAAATTCATACCAATCAATAAATATAAACTAGAGAAGAATGAGGGAAGTATGTATTATATGTATGTTCAGAGATACATTAATTATCTCATTAAAACCATAGCAATTATAGTTACAACATAGATAATATGAATTATTTCACTCATCACTTCAATCGTTTTCATTATCACAAACACTTTAATAATAATTTCAATAAAAATAAACACTATTACTATTATTGAAACAATTATCATAATAAAGCACAATGAAGATAAAAATAACATCACAATAAAAATCAAATCAGAAATAAAAGAAATGAAATACAAAATGAAATGATAAAACCAAGAATATTATAGAAGGTTATTATGATAAAACCAAGACTAAAGAATATTCCTAACAACAGTATTGAAAAAAAATTAGTATTTGATTACAAAAGAAAAAAAGAATAGAAGAGACACTTTAGTATGAAAATGGGAGAAAATGATAAATAGTTAAATCAGGTAGGTACAATTGGTAATTATTTAAACAGTAATGACGTTTAATACAATCTAAACAAGGATAAAAAGATATATAAATGAGTCATAATGATGTTAATAAATGAAAGATGAAAAAAAATAATCTAACCAATTTTTTTTAAGAATTAAAAGGAAAAACAATAAATACTGTTACATAATTATTAAATGATTTGTTAATATAATATTATTCAAAATTCTAATCACTAATCAAATGTTTCAAAATATAATAAAACTATTTGCTCAAAACAAAATGGGATATAAAGTATGCATTATAATTAGATAGATATATTCACTATCAATCATTTAGTACATACTTGGTATTATTAGACAAAGAAATTCAACAACAT